TTTGTTTTATTCGATTGTTTTGATTGTTTTGATTTTCACGTTACACCTGATCTTGAAATATAATTGGCTAGTGCCATGAAAAAGTCACATGACCGGAAAATTTTTTGTGGGTGAGCTACTAACATCAATAAAATAAAACATAGGTAATTTTGGCCAACTCATGTACTGTAATTGCATGACACGGATCAGTGATCACGAAAAGTGTCACTTAATCCGTGGAAATTACGTAATCTGCTTACTAAATGGATTTCGCCAAGTGAAAGCTGTCATAAATCGGGGTTTTAAATTTTATAAATTACGGACATAATTCCTAAAAAATCTGTAGACGCAATAAATTTGAAACCTGATGACAAATATTCCCTTGGCAGTATCTTATCTTAGGGTAAGTTTGGGAAGTTACATCTCGCGTTAGCGATCATAAAGAATTAGGAAATTCCTGCATTAACAACAAAGATTTGACGCGTTTTGATACCAATAAAAAATGATTACGTGATGATAATGTTAAAAATTTTAAAATACTGTATAAATTTTATCCTGTGTATATAATAAAAATCCATTCTATGTATATTTTATTTTATATACAGATATATCAGATTTATTTAATATATTTTATGACATTTAAAATTATTACAGCAGATTCTTGAATTTGATTGGCTAAGAGCGACTATCAAAAAATTAGGCTATTAAATGATAATAAATGAAAATTGTTACCGGGCCAATTTTAACATAATGCGGGCTCATTTTTCAAAAATTTCTATGTAATGCGGGCCAAAAATTTTGCAGATCACGGCCGTTAGCCAAGGAAAACTGAGAAAAGGCACATTTTCTCTTGAAGAAGGCATATCTTTCCTCTTTCGTCAGTTGCATGCCAACTTAAAGAATGTGCCAACCTCTGAGCTATATTGGAGAGAAGCTTTGGCTAACCAAATTACAAGCGCCGATTCTATTATAGTGAGACAACCTACGCCAGAATTGCAGAAAATATTTATGGTAAGTATAATATTGACCCATTTTTAATTAAATTCTCAGAGTCAGACTATAATTTTATCGATAGAAACCGAAAGGAAACATGGTTCCTCCAATGCCCGCAATAATCCAAAAAAAGTGCAATAAATTCGTGGCAGGCTATAATTGGCTTCATGCAAATACTTCGCCACAAAAAATATTTACATAATGGAACCTGGAAAGAAAGTAATGAACATCTAGCAGGGTGTTGCAGATAAAATCTTGGATACTTTGTGAGTAATAGTATCCATATATTTGAACATGATTTTGCTATAGAGATTGGAATCGATGACCAATTATTCGATCATCGATCAAAAATTTCGAGTATCGAAATAAGCTTTCATTCACTGAGTTTTTAATTCGGGCATCAGTGAAAGTTAAATTTAACTATACTGTATGTTTTGATAATGATAATATAGTGAAACATTTTTTGATTGAAAATTTAACTGTTTTGATAATGATAAAATTAAATTATATATTATAAATGTAGCGATAACTAAATTTTTTAAAAAATCGTCGAACATTCGAACATCGGTCAAAATTTTTTTACCGATGCTCAAAATTCTAGAGTTTGTGATCAATCTAAGTTCGAAACTCATCGATTCCACTCTTTATTTTACTATATATGATTTGAAAACATCTTACTTTTTTAACAGAAATGATACTCGCATTTAGACCCGACTTTGCAGGTCGCTAAATGAAGGCACGTACGTACGTACATAGCCAATGGTATTGTGCCAGCTATTCGAGCATCTTTAAAAAATTTACCTTTTGGGAGAATTTCGTTCATAAGTTCGTAAGTGTATAATTACTAGGCTGTAATTCTATAATTATTAATATTGATTTTCCTTCCAGATGTGAACGTCTAAGTATCGCCAGTGCAGATAGAAAAGAGAAGGCAAGTTAGGTAGAAAAACCAAATATAATGTTTGTAATGAAGCATGAAGAGAAGAACTATGAATTCATGTACACTGAGTGTTCACGCCTGGTCTGTAGTACAAAAAAGAAATAAATGATAAGGTAAAATTATGGCGTGAACAGAATGATGGGGTGTACTGGATTTGGAATTGTCAATATTCAAGTTGCTGGAAAATCATTTGCACTTGAATATTCCCATTAGACGCAGTTTCAATTCCTGTGCAACTAACAAGTGCATCGATACTAACAGACTAATTTTGCGGGTAAGTAGTTCTAAGTTAAATTATTTTTTGCTCTTATGTAAATGTTAACTTTATGCCTTCGATTTGTAGGCTCCTAATGTTTGTTAGCAAGATAATCTTAATATTCTTCAGCAAGCAAATGTTTCTTCTGCGAAATGCGAAATTACTTTTTAACTTCGTTGAACTTAATGGAGTAAACATTAAAGAAAGCAAGCAGGCACCCATTTTTTAGGATATAATAATAGTCAATATGTCCATATTATTACATGTACCATTAGTTAGATTATTGAGACAGTTGGAATATGGTAGTGTGTCTATTGTCCCATCTATAATGGGTTGGGTGTTGAAGTATATTGGTGATGAACTATAGATTGTTCTGTAGCTGCTGGAGTCTGATATGAGTAGTGATCTAGTGTAGTGTTGCGGTAGAATTAATTTGACAAATTAATACAGTTACGGCATGTGCCGTATTATTTGCCATAATTACTAATGCCGTAATGCCTATATTAAAATATCATAAAGCTGTTTTATCTAAATATTATAATACTATTGCAGTAATGTATTAAAATACTGTAATGCTACAAATAGCATAGGATAACATAGGATAACATTTCGCTAGTGTTTATTGTTTAAAGTAATTTTTAGAATTAAGATAACACAGTAACTTTACTGGTTTTGTGAATAAGTAATCAATCATTGATCATCAAAGTTCGTAGTGAAAGATCTTAGTTTTTTTTTTACTGTTCGGTCAAGGTTATTTCTTATAGCTGGGAGTTTGTTTTCGAATTATCCTAAAATAAAAAGATGCGTGCCCTTATTTCCCACCGTGATACAAACCAAAAAAAGGAAATTTTTGTATGTAGATCGTAAGATCAGGTGTAACATGAAATTTGTTCAATAACTCAAAATTTTATCTAAAAAACCGCCTCTCGTGTTCTAACAAAAATAATTCCATGCAAAATTTTAGTATAGAATCTATTCTTCCTAACTTTAAAGTTAAAGCAAATTTGCTGCAAATGGAATATTTGTAATTTCGCGTGATTTGTATCACAGTGAGAAATAAGTAAACCCGTACAACTAGTTACTATAACAAAAATTAATAAAGCATTTATTCGTTTGCCCACATTTTATTTTAACATGTATTATATTTTAACTTTTCATTACATAATAAGAAATAATATTTTTTCCTTATTGTTGATATCTCATTAAAATACTAATCATACTTCGCAACACCAAGTTGTATAAGAAGGTTAAATCATTACCAGCTTGTGCCATATACAAGCAAGTTGCCATTAAACCTGGTGTCATATGCTGGAAAACAATAGGTGGGTAACCATTGTGGATGAGATGATATACCATAATTGAACGAGCAACACGTCCATTACCATCGACAAATGGATGAACATGATTAAAGGATGAGAATATACGAGAAGCAATAATAAGGGGATGAAGACTTTTATTTTTGATGGACTCATCGCGAAATTCTATAAATCTTTTCATTAATGCAGGCACTTCTTGTGGATACTACAGAGAGCCTGAAATAAGAACCTTGATAAAAGGATCCAGCAGACAATGAATAATAAACTTGAACTTACTGTATAAACAGTCAAATGCGCGTGACTTGCCATTACTTCTATCTTCCGAAACTCTCCTGCATAATTAATCTCATCTTCCCATTCAAATTTCTCCATTGGCGTATCTCTTAAAAGGACGCGATGAATATCTTTTATATCATCTAGATTAATTTCACGCTCTAGCTCAGCAAACTTACTAACCAAATAAGTTGAGAGAAGGTGGTTTCGAACTTCTATGACTTCATATTCCGATTTATCAGAAAGAGATCTCGGCCCAGGAAGCGGAAGCTTTCGATCTTTTAACAAAATATCCAAGTTGTTCTTTTTCAATTTCTCCCAAATTCCTCGTGTATCTTGTATTGCCAATGTATTCCCTTCTATGGCACAACTCGAGTGCGAAAAACTTGCGGTAACACGTCGTAAAATGTCTATAACCGGGATTTTTACTGAAGACTTAAGAGTGTCGATTGCATTCAACAAATCTTTTACTTTTATTTGATAGTCTGTTGAGTGAGAAAATACATTAGCATTTCAAGTTGAAAGTTGCAAGAATACAATTCATACCATAATCTCGTGACGTCCATCGAAACGGTTAAAAGTGATCCTCCCAAAGTTTCCCAGATTCGAGCAATTCAGTCCATCCTGGCCCTTTACTAGTTTCATAAAGAGGTAAATAAATCTGTAAACGAAATAAGTCAGGAGTATTAGGAGTATTATATAATAATTTTCATGTGTACGGTAATTATAATCAGAGACCTTTTCGAGTAGTTCAAGTCTTTCACGTTCCTGGTGTGCAGCAAGCTCTTGAGATTTTATGCTTGACGAGATCAATAAACGGAACTGACCCTTGCGGATTCCATAGGCAAAAACAGAACTCGTTAAGGGAGGAATGATTCTACGTAGCATGATTTGAGAGTGATTGAAGAATCCATCATTTTTATCAATGTGATCGATCGATCATGTGCTACCTTCCAAACTTGACAAAGATCTTCAAATAAATGAATTTCCCACATGCAGTATCGGGAGATTTTTCCGACGTTAGTAGCTGCGCACCCACAAAAAATTTTCCGGCCATGTGACTTTTTTATGGCGCTAGCCAATTATATTTCGAGATCAGGTGTGAAAATCAAAACAATCAAAACAATCGAATAAAACAAAAGAATTAAAGTAATA